GTGTTTGCTTCTCGCATCTTGCAAACTGAGTGAGCAATGACAACATTGATTCGCATTTCTGAAGACGATGTATGGACTACTTCAAAGGGTGGAGGGAGGAATTTTCACAATTTGCATTCAGATGAATTCCACTTCGAAGGTTTCTATTTCATCATCTCGCCCCTTGTTTATCGGGTAAGATTTGGTGGTATTGTCGGCGGAGATTGGTCGAACGGTGGTCGTACCGCCGAACTGTAATGCAGCAGTGGGAGATCCCATTTGATTCGTGCAACAAAATTCCGTTCAGTTGGTTTGAGATATTACGTGCGAACGTTCGAACTAGAGACATACACGAGGCACCTCGTTTTGTTTCACACACCCATTCTTACACTGTTGTAAAGAATCTGTAGTGTCTGTAATCCGTTACCACATCTGTTTGCCATTTTTCCTGAACTTAAACTACATTTTGTGACTGTTGTACATATTTTATCAAGACGTTTGTTTGATTATACCAAGTAATACAATACACAAGTTTTCGGCGCGACTTTCTGACTTCTTGCTGAGTTAGTGAATTTACACTCCGTTGGACTGTTTGCTGACTGCTAAACCAGTGGGACTAGTTCTCTGTGTTTTTGTGAGCTGGTGAACGCCACCATAACTCCCGGTGACATTTTTTTAGCTGTGGATAACTTTCCTATCCTGTAATATACTACTCACACGTGAATCATCTGTGGAAAATTTCCACAAGTGGATATTTCCTTCACAGACGGTTACTGCATTGGAATCGATGTAGTGTGCTATTGGATCTACGCATTCGTGAGTCCATTTCGATTGCTTATTCCTTTCTCATTGTGATTTTGTTACTTTGCTCGTTTATTTGACCCAACACGCTAATGAGGTCCTAAGTCCACTACAAACCAACCGGGCGATTTATTTGATATCCCGAACGTGGGATTCGGTGGAACACTGAGTGACAATAAAATCACAAAGTATAGACGTTGTAAGATTATCTCACTACTTTTTTCATCCTTACTGATTATGTACTGAAGGATAGGACCAGTCGCATATCGGGAAAGAAATAAAACCTGACTGAAAGGATTGCACACCCAAAACTGGCCTGCAGCAACAGGATCTGTAACACAGACTCTGTCCTGTAAGTGAAGCTAATCTATGCTAAAAAGCCAAGACACTCTCTACAACTGTTTCTTCCCTATTGGGAACCATTAGAGGTGCATATCTCACAAAATTCCCAAAATAACTCTTCTATGGCTAGCTGGAGAACATGATTTCGGATTTGGGACAGCTTAAAGCAAGTTTGAAAAAACGGTAGCTTTCACTTTAGGCAGGACCTGTTGTTTGACAGACCGGTATGAAGAGCGGCTTTCAAACGGGGCGGAACGTGTTGTTATGCTAGGAAATAAGTGAGTCATTCGAAGCCGGGGGAATGCAACCCCAGCCGTGTAAAATTATGAAGCGTGTAGACGCATATGCATATGTTGTTGTTTAACAGCATACACAGTGGTCTACCTGATAAACGTGGCCTCCTGGACATGAAGTTTTTTTTCTCATTTTCGATTGACTACACATCCAAGGATGATAACATCTTATCGACTTTACTGTTCCTTACATGAATGTCTACGTCTCTGTGAAAGCGCTGCCACGTTTCAAGGTCCACAATCTGATCCCCACTTTGTTAGCCAACTTCTAAAAACTCAGAGCAGGTAACAACAGGTCCGATAAAAATATTCATTGAGAGTTTTTTCAACTTACTCAACATAGAAATCTAGGCACAGTAATTGTGTAAAACAAGTCGCAACATTAGAAATCTCATGTCTTAGTCATGACCTCATTAAAGACTGCTTTTGACGATATGTGGAATTTGCCCATGATGCATGAGACGGGAACTGCATCTTTATCGAAAGCTTTTCCCCGTATATGGTGATCTAGCACCGAAGTGGCACAAATCTACTCTCACAAAGTACTCAAGAGAGAAAATACTGAAACCGGAACGAGAGACTTTTTGGCTTATTACATGTAACTATATTGACTAACAGGTAATATAAGTAGAACATAAGGGCTGACGGAAACTCGGGGACTGTGCCTACCTGATGAGACCCAAAAAGGGCGAAACCGGTCGTGGGTTGTCGAAAAGATTTCAGCAACCTTGTTAGTAGTTTCGTTTACGACAAAAGATCATTTAGGACGCTGAGAGGCACCAGACAGCCAAAGTTGCCTTGCGAGGCCAAGAGTCATGGTAACAGGCAGCAACGTGTTTGAGTAAGTGGAACGGGTAGCATCAGTTTGTGGTTAGTATTAAAGTTGCGTTGCTGTGTGTGATCTTGGGTGCAGGCCTGAGAAACGACAGAGGGTACTGTTCACACAATGAGATAGCCATTAGTGAGCGAGCAAAATGAAACCTCGTCCCCTAATTGGAGCCAATCAATGATGAAAAGCCAAGAAGCACTCACCGTTTTGTCCTCATTTGAAATCATCAGTCGTGCAGTTCGAGAATCTCCGAATCTCCGCGAAATACACACTACTGCTGAATCCTAACATGGATGGAACATTTGTACAGTTCATTTGTACATTTGTACAGCATAGATTGGCTTCACTGACAGGATGAAACAACCAATAGAAATTAGAAACTCTCAAAACTCCTCGCATTCCCAAAGAAGCGGGACTGTTATGCACGTTTGTCACCCTGTTCGGTCTGCAAGTAATTGCAAAAACTTTCTGGAACATACACTGAAATATGCCATATTGCATAGATTATGTTTGGAGGATCCGCACCTACAACAATTTTATCTCCTGTGGTAAAGCTTCACTTACTTTGCGGATCAAAACTTGGATGAAACCACACTTTTCAGTCCTGGTAGGGATTACCTTCTAAGAATATCTGAACAGAAATGTGCACAGAGTACGTTTCGATTCACGTTTCCCACAAAGAAACGTTTACCTGAATGGTGATGTTTCATCACGCGGACTTATCTTGCTCTTTCTTTGTGACAAGACATATTAGATATGTTTAAACTTACGATGGCGTTGGTATCGACAGAAACACACTACAACACTGATCAAAGTTACGAATTTCCGTCTTGACAAATTTGCGTTTGTCCGTACATTATCGACCAACCGCAGATTATTGCCTTGTCGATCAGTAGATGTACGCAATGAGCGGCGTTCAAGAAGAGATTAGCGTCGCTGTTTTAGATCACGTAGAAATTACTGCCAATCAAAACAGCTCCCTTTAGGGACTGATTTACACTCATTCGACAAGCGATTATTTGTCTACGCACTGAAAAATCAATCCTGATATATAGGTGCAGATGGAATGTTAGTGGGTTGTGCAGAAGTTCCACTAGAGTTATACCTCAGTTACGAAATTGGAGAGGTGTGGGATCTGGGAGAAAAAGACTTCAAATAAGGTACAATTTCTGGTGGAGCATCACGACGGCTTAGTAGAAAGTTGAATATACTCAAAACTAACTAAATAGTGATAATTCAAATTCATTAGGCAATGAAAATCAACCATATTATTAGAATTTTCAAACGAACGATGCCAGTTACTGAGAGGCATTTTGGTGCCCCACAAAGTAAAATCCTTCTGGACGAGTAAGGTATTTATTGGCGCGTGAGGGCACTTGAAGACAAACGTCGCTGATAAGCCCTAGACAAGTTAGATCACTCTGTACACCATTATAGACTTTATTCTTAGCGATGGCAGTAACAACTTAATTTTCCGTCTGGTGCACTTGGGGCTATTGCCCGGCGACTTCAACGGATATCTCATCGCCCTAATCTCAAAATTTCCGCCTCACCAAACGACTTTCTATTTGTCAATCTGATGTTGTTGAACTTGATAATTATTACATACGACCTAGTATCTGGTCAAGTAACAAAAATGAAGAATTCTGATAAGCAATACGAAACCATGGGCAGTCCATAGTGAAAAGCATTTATGTGCTGATTACAAAGTGAGGATCGCCGGTGCCCGCTAGGCCGTTCTCAGACTAATCAAACCTGGTTGAGTGTGTGTGTTGGAACCTGAAAAGCTGGACGGTCAAATAGAAGCTTCTTAGTCCCTTCTTGCAGCCTTGGAACTCAAATCGACTGCTTTTAGAGTACCAAATATAACAGAATGAAGCCAAAACAGTGATCATTCAGGAAAAGTGCTGATCCAGATGAGGGTTGGACTGAGCTTTGGCGGAGAAACATTCCCATGCTGTTTTTCACTCTTCGCAAAGAAACAGGCCTCTGTTTTTTCGTTTTCATTAAATTCCTTGAAGTTCAGTTTTACTTGGTTGCATCGGAATCTGAGCAATCTATATCAACGACTTCCAGATCTCCCTCTCTGATGCAGACCGATGTCGACTGTCTTCGATCGTGAACAGTTGCGACGCATCGATAACGCAGCTGTACAAGAAACCACATGTTGCACAGGTAACTGCAATGTAAATGTTGGCCCACTGGCCTCATAATCGTAAGGTTTGTAGTTGATTGTCCGCATACAGGAGGTTGGAATGGATGTAAAAACAATTATTTTCCGGAAATCTGATAAATCAAGTGGCGCATCGGTCTTTGCAACACCTACAGGATGCTGCTGTAGATTTCAGTAGCTGGAAGTCAACTGCGGATTTGCATGTATCACCGTAACAATTGGAAGAAACAGTTTTATCTGACAAAGACAGTGGATTTGTGGGAAAGGCGAAGAGAAGAGTTATGACCACCAATCAGAATTGAGTCAAGTCAAGCCAGATCAAGTATAGTCAAGCAAAGTCAAGCGAAATCTTGCGTAATATGATTTGCTGCCCATTCAACTAACAATATCCTCCATAAAGGTGACGAAAGATAACCGACAGGAGCACTCAGGAGTATGCAGCAAGTGTCGAAAGCTTTTTGACTGTGATGATCCTCCAGACGACACTGCACTTGTAGCATTAAGTAAGCGCAGGCAGAAAGGGGCAGATTACTGGTTAGTTTTAATTACAGTGGTTTTTTTGGACTTTTATCTTTGGACTTACCAGAAATTGACGGCATTGTGAGATCCTGCCTTATAAGTGAGGCTGATCTATCTTGGGAATCCACGATGAACTATATGGCTGTTTTCTTCTCACCCAGATTCACCAGCACAGTGTACCTCACGAAGGTGCAGGAATTTCTGAACCCATGACCTCCCGCTAGCGGTCTGAACACTTGGCTTTTTGATCACGAGCGGCTGATCAGCATTGTGAATAGCTCACACTTGGACGCGACATAATGCTACCCACCCTTTGGCCACAAAAACCGCATTAGGTGCTTAATTATCAACTGGTCCCTCCAGTGACAACTTTTCAAACGAAGGTGCTCCTCGTCCGACGGAATTACTATTCATCTGCGTTATCTACAGACTGATGGTAGCGCAAGGAAATTTTGGAATTTTTATTGGACCTTTCGTAATCTACGTGAAGTCGATCTGTGGGAAACAAGCTTAAAAGCATCTTACTTAAAGCATCTTATTAACAGTTTCGATTGCAAACGTTCAAGATAACGACAACTTCATCCGGGATGAGGAAAAACCAGGGCTAAAGTGTGAGGATACCTTTCGAAAGGTCTCAAATTATATGTGAAATAACAGACGATGTTTCACTTTGAATAACAGACTCACAATGAGTGAGAAATTCTCTCATATTGATATGGATGCTCACGTAGAAAAAGCTTTGTCTCTCGTCATGTTATCAAGTTCCCTCTGGACAAAAAGCTTCAAAATGTATCAAAGCCGTAAACACCGATTGTGCGATCTTAGATTTTTTGGCAGAAGTATTTAAGTTCCAACAACGGACAGACCCCCTACTCTTTGTTGTGTGCTCCAAGGTAAACATCTGACTCAAAACAACTGGAGGTAAAACCTCTCCACGTTGGTCCTAATGGATACTGTGGTGTTTTGCAAATCGATGTTACATTTTCCCCATTTTCTACTCTCTTCATATAAACTTGAATTGCAATTTGTAAACACTGTACACGTATCATGACATTTTGTTTTATTGTACCAATAATTACACTAAAATCGAAAACGATGAAATACGCAATTTCTTGGCGCGACCTCCCTGCTTTTTGCTGAGTCAGTGAAATTGCATCCGATTGAACTGGTTGCTTTTTGCTGAAGTTGTGGGATTGGATTATTGTGTTTGTGTGTGAACTGTTGAACGTCACAATAACTCTGTTGATTCCACCTGCGAATCAACGGTGACCAGCGGTAACTTTCCTTGTTTTCCGACTACTTATGAGTAACGTGACTCGCATCTGTTTATTACGACACCGTTTCGTTTCTTTGCTCGTTTTCCCCCTGTTTCGTCCCGGCTTAGGGTCTGCTTATGC